ATAAATTAACGAAAACTTGTGAAAATATTTCATTCAAATTAAACCATTCTGAGAAAACTGTCCGGTGAAAAAAAGTATAGATTAATTCCGTTCAGATATGAAATGTTTAAAATATGTTTTTTCACATACTTAGGACTCTGAAGTGCTGTGTAGAAAAAGAAATATATACATTTTATGTATATTTACGACGTAATTACAAAATATTAATCCGAAACGCGTCAAAAAATCCCATAAACTCAATGGTAAATGACCCAATGTTTTGGTCACCACGTAGGGATCGCCGGTGCTTCAGAGCAGGGTACGGGAGAAACCTGTTTAGTAGGACTCCATCTTACATCTTGCTTACATCCTACCTCCATGCACTGAATAGCGGGCGGAAACGAAACTGCTCCCTCCGTCAGCTGACCAACTGACACAGCAACTTTTTCGACGCGTAAGAGCGTCCCCCCCGTTCTTTCCCCCTTCGCGAAGTTGACGTTCGCAAAGAAAGATCAAGTATCAAGGAAACACCTGCTTTTATTTTCTAGTCTTTAGCAAAAATTTTGTCTAAGATGACAGCCCCTTTCTAATTTATTCTGGCTCTTATTTTGGCGCAAAATTAGACCTTCTGAGTTTTTATATTTGTTTTCAGTGTGAAGGCACTTATTCTTAAAAGCTTTTTTCGGCTTAACATAAATTTTTACCGTATTAGATAATTCCCTCTTTTGATGATGACATTTTTTTCTTCAGATGATGTGGAAGTAAAGGCGTTTATGCCTAAGAACTCCGTAACACGAACTTCCTTGATCCAGTTAAACTGGAGTTGAAAGTTTTGAGTAGCTCTCCAGCAACTCAAAGGGGAAGGGATGTTGGGAATGGTATCACTACTTCAGCCAATCAAAAGCCAAAAAGAGCCTGCCATCACTGAAAGTGATGTTCCGAAAAAGAAATTTTTTTGAAGCTGAATATTGACTTGTACTTTCATTCATATTGAATATGTGCATGAATAAATGTTTTTCTTTTAATGTTAAAACTGTTTAAGTGTGCCATTTGTCATAAGGTACCTTTTAATTCATCCTCTGATGATTTTTCATGAATCCAATTTCTGAGGTAGCCAATGTTTCGAAACGAAACACATTGAATCAGTATGAATCCAGTGTCTTGAAACTGAAAAATAAAAAATACGATGCGTTTGCTCTACGTGAACAGGCAACATCTAATTAACTTTCCGCAATTTCAGGATCTTCCCTCTAAACCAGTACTTTTGAGAACATTCGAGCATATTACGTAACCAATTCTATAAATGAAGAATTCGTGACATTTTGCGTCAGAAGAAGAGACTGCTTTTCCCCCTCTACTGCTGCTCTTCTGTTTTGTCATTGGATGCCGCCTTACACTCAGCTACAACAATGTCTAGAATTCTGATGTGACCAGATTGCCAAGCTTCACTCATGTGCCCGACTGCCACAATATTACATATATATATATAAGGAAAAAATGATTTTGAGGAGGCTATGTGCCCACCATAAGATGTCAACAAGTGGACTTATCCTTTTTGTCAATGAAACAAGTCAGATTACCTTTTGCCCTTTAAGGTATCAAGATGAGTAGAAGCATTCCAGCTGACCATGTCCAAAATGCTGATGTTGGAAACATAGACTGGGGAATTTCCTTGTTTTGAAGAATATAACCCAAACTTTCAGCATGAACAAAAATCTCAATTTGAAGACAACTATGCTTTCAATGCTTGGAACCACCAGAAAGTACTCAAAGGGTACTGGGAGTCATTAAGATCTATTAAATCTTTTTCTCATAAACTGGTTACCTTTTAAGAATTGGATTCTTTTATTCACCAAGTTAAAAAAAAATTCCTTTCTGAAATAGTCAGCAGATAGGCCTCATAAAACTGTCTTGATTGAGCTTTTTTGCAGTGAGAAGGAAGTGCACTGGACTTTTTTCTCCAGAAAGTCTTTTCTTCTGCTTCCAGTGTTTTAGAGTTTAATGGTATCAGAGAAACAACAAAGTCGTCAACATCATGCTTCAGGAATAAGTTCAAAGGCAAATTCCAGCTTATGTCTTTTTTTGAGATCATCCAACACCTTAGATTATTGAAGAAATTTGTCTTTCTTTGGAATCCTTCAGTTTCTGCTCATTAAATGATTATCTTGGTGATCAAGAACAGGTGATGCTGAAAAAATTCCAACCTTTTTCATTCTACTCAGTTTTAGAAAATGGTTAAGTGTCCAAATTAGAGTTGATTGATGACTGAGAATTGGAGTTCATTGTTTTAAGGTCTTATGCATTTTGCTTCAGTCAGATCAGGAAGTACTTTGGCAGCTGGTAACAGAAATTAAGTTTTACCAGCAGAAAGTACTTAGTTGTTAATTATATTTTCTGCTCTTAACTCTTGTTCTTTTTCTGAGAAAGGTACATCAATTAGTCTTTAGTCAGTTCAGCATGCAGCTCGTACAGAGTTATTCAATTTAAATGGGAAACCATTACTATGTAGGAGTATGATAAGATCGTGCATTGTGTATTTTAATTCATCTTTTCGCTCCAAATTTCAATTTTGGCTCCAAAATCTGTAGCTTTATTTCATCAGCTGTCTGCCACATCAGTCAGGAGTGAAACTTCCGCAATTTTTTTCAAATGAAGACTCTATCTGTGTAAAATTTCGAAGTGGAATTTTAGTATGTGGCCATGAAAAAGTCTGAATGTATGAGTGTTATACCTTGCATTGGCTGGAAAGGATATGGAACCTAGGAAAAGGCACTAATAGATCATCCATACTGATTTGGGGCTCATTCAAGGCTAATCTCACAGCTAATGAGGAAAACAAGTGATATGAAATGAAAACAAATACTGCTGAATACCACAATGGCCGGCCGACATTTATGCTCCAGTCATTGTATATTTTCTGAAACAAGATATTTTAAGAGTAGGCTTAGATCTAATAAACACTGTCATCAAAAATATCGTGGTAAAAAATACAGTACCTACAAATCATCGCACATATGTGTTTTCAGGTTTTAAAAGTTGTAAATGCACATTCGCATAATGATTTGGGAACACAAGAAGGAAAGAGGGATTCTTTTACCTTTATATTTCATATTTTTGAGTGAACTAATAAATTTTTGCTGATAAAATAAGAAGAAAACTTTTAAGCAATTAAAAATTTAAAAGGAGTAGAAATTTAATGCAACTTATAGAACTTAACAGAATTTTAAATTTACATAGTTCATTAACAAAGGTCATTAATAAATTAACCTTTTTTAAAAAAATTTACTAATACCTTTATATGAAAAATACAGTCTAAAAATGCTTAGAAAAAGGAAAATAAATAACTACATGAGGTTATATCTATAAAAATAGCTTACTTAATTATCAAATTATTTTCTTTCACATTTCTTAATCTGATATTGTTTTAGTGAAAATAATATTTTGTATTCATTTATTCTTAAAGTGTTGTTACGTTTTCATGTATCGCATGCAATCAATTTTTTGGATGTCTATTTGTTAGTTATGACAAAAGTCAGTTAAATAATGTCAATATGAGATTTGAAAAATGCATGTGAGCGATGTTATCGTCATGCAATGATTTGTAGGTACTAAATTTTTTACCATGATATTTTTAAACGGCTATTTTCGACCACGATATTTTAGAACTGTGATGCTTCCTCTTTGCTTTTTTTTTACTCCCACAATGTTTTTGCCTTGCATTGTTTTCGGCTGTAACTGTATGGATAGCAGCAATTATGATTTTGTGTATGAAGAGGACATAAATTCTAGTACAGAAAGTATTGAAAACAATGATCACATCCCAAAAATTGGACAGTGAATTTTACGAACTATTTGGTTACCTGGATTCTGGTACGGTCTTTGAAGGATTTACATGTTCTTTTTTTTTTTTTTTTTTTGCCTTTTTGAATAAAGGCTGCATTCAACCGCTCTAAAAAAGTTAAAGCATTAAAGTACTTTTCCTTTACTATTGTAATTTTTACGTACTAATTATTTAGAGTATTCTATTATAATTTTTTAGTCCAAAAGGGTGTTATCCCAGGAGGGCTATTTAGCCTCGAAAAGGCATTTTGTGTCGAATCCCTTTTCAAATTGCTGCCATCAAATATTATCTTCCTATATTATATTTAAAGAAATTAAATAATGAAGAATCTACATGAATGTATGCATGTTTCTCATACTGTGAAAAAACAATGGCACGTAGAATCATTAAATTTTGAACACCATAATCCTCCACGCAAATATAGATACCTGGAAGCCCGGATTTGAATTTGTTGTAAATTTCATACTTTGTAAAACTTTAATGAATTTTTGATTAAAAAACTCAGCTAACAGAAAAGTACTTATGTTTTTTGTGAGATTATTGGATCTGCATATAAGCCCCCCCCGTCCCCATAATTTAACTTTTTATAAAGCTAAATTGCAGGAGAATTAGGCCCATTATCACAAGGCATTTGTTTCACACAAACAGCTGTTTTGGACAATTTCTCAGCCTGGTTGACTAGTGAAAAAAAGATGTGCGATTTTTTCCCTTCCTTTCGGAAAAAATTGCAAGTGTTCGTTTTCAAGCAGTCAGCTGTCAACTTCGAATGCTATCAGCTTGTTTGCAATGGAGAACTAGTTTTCCCTGTGTTAACCACAAAGCGATCTGTGGTGATTGGCTGTTGTGACAAAGCAAAAAAATTGTTCCAAACAGTTATTCTTCCGAAACAAACTGACATGTGATAGCAGCCTTATGGGGGTTGCCTTAAGTTCCAAATATTCATGGCAGATACACAAAATGTACAGTACTTTTTCAGAAAGTAACATTTCAGTTTTATTTCTGTGCACATCTTTTCATTTTGGCTACCAGTATATATTACTGTACGTGAGTTTTAAGTAAGTTGTGTAAAAAACTAAATAAAAATCAGAATTCTCCTTTTTCATGATTTTTATTTTATTTTAAAGTTCATTTTTTAACTGAGTAAACGCTTTTGTAGTTAGCATAAAATACAAAACTAAAATATATATTTTCTTATATTTAAGTTTATTTACAGCTTAATGTAAAAATATACACTTCTTTACAAGAATAATATAAGGTAATCAGAGAATAAATTACTAAAATGTCATCAGTGGACATTTATGTAAAATTTGAATTCCCAAAAACAGTATTTTATATACAAATGTTTAAAATAAAACAGTCATTGTTCTAATAAAACCACAGAAAATAACATCAAACTACAAAAGAGCAGTAATTCAAATGTGGCTTATGTTTTGGAGATACTAGACTGAACATGACACAGAATTTCCAGTGAAACTTTTTCTAATGCAATACTCACACATAAAAATGCTATAAAAATATCTAATACAAAATATCACACCAAAACTTACGCTACTTTAATTTTTCACACATAAAAATTTCATATTTTTCTGAATCAACAGAGAAATGACTACTCTCTTATACTTTTCATTCTATGATAGTTTTATGCTTTCCCCAACCATGGAAACATTTTGTGAATCGTTTTGATTCTTTTCCTTTCAATGTAAGCATGAGCTTTCGTGGTTGACCTTGCTGTTTAGCTCGCAGGCTCTGTACATATACCTGCATAAATAAAAGAAAACACAGTCCGAATGAGAATGTATATAACATATCATAAATAATATTCAATGTACACAATGACATTTAATTAAATTTCATTCAAGAATTAAGAAACGTGCATGCTCATTCCAAATCCAATGTCTGTGATACTGACATGAATTTCTACACAGGGATCCACTATACTTGTTAAGAGAGATGACAGTACAATAGGTACAGGATATAGGTTGTGTTATTTGAGCATGGCAATGCACACAAGAGCTATCTATCTAAGGGAAGGGATGCCTTTGTGAAGGACTTTTTAAGGGACTCTCATTCACATTGCACATGGAAAAAACTATGAAAATTAACTATACAAGCAATCTGTTTGAGCTTCCGGAACCTTACTTAACCATTGGCTAGGCCACATCAGGATGCATACATACTATTGTTAAAGTTCTTTAAAAATACCTTAAAGAATGATGGAATTCCCTGATGAATTTTTAAAAAAATTCCAAAAACAATTTAGGCAGAAATTAAGAAAGACTTGAAAATTAAGAAATTAGACTTTAAATAAAAATATTAAGTTTTAGAACAGAAGAAAAAAAAATAAAATTACATAAATATGTAAGATAAAAATACACAAAGCAAAATGCTAACATTAATTTGTGATTACCCCTTTAACCTTAACCCCTATTTTAATTTGAATATCTTCTTTCTGCCCTAAAAATAGTAATTATTTATAATAAACCTCTCTGACCATGTCATTTCAAAACTAATTGGCCAATAAAAACCTACTGAAACTGAAATCAACTCATTTTTGGAATCATAACTTTTTCACTTAAGTTTTTCAGGGTACAAGGGATTCCTGTTCTCGCTCACTTCTAGTTATTAACCATGTTATTATAAGAGTACGTAAAGACGTGATCAAGGTAAGTATGCAAATTGCATCCAGTGCCATGTGTAATCCATAATCTCAATGTACTTCTCCATTCAGAAATAAAATGTGTCAAACTGGAACAAAGACTAACATTTGACTGCAAGTTTATACGCAAGTATGCGGGCGTGAGCACGTGTATGCATGCATGCATACACACAAAGATATCATATATTATTTATGTAATTTATCATTTAAAAATGAAAATTTACTTTAATGTATTCTGCCCATAACTAAGGATGCTGTATGCAATTTGGGGAATCCTATGTTAATACTGATTACATAATATTATTAAACAGTGTATAAAATATTTAGAAAGGCTAACATTTTAGGAAATAGTTAATGATAAAATTCCATTTATTTAACTGACAGGCTAACATAACTGTAAACTTTTCCTCCTCATCAGTCTGTAACTTTATCACATACAGGATGTAATATTTAGTAAACGTATCAAATCTAGACAAACAGGAGTACCTCATAGAATTAATATTAAGTATTTAAGAAGACAAAAATTTCATAATTTAATAATTCATAATTTAATTTGATAATTTTTTTAAAAATTCCACTCATTTTTTACTGACAGGCAGTCATAATTCTGAAAAGTGAAAGAAGATAATGCTTTTTTCATACTGTAGAGCCATTAGATTATTTTGAAGCAGAAGACATGAAAAATGAGCAATGACCTCAACAGGACTTGAACCTGGACCTCTTGAATACGTGCTGAGTGTGCTAACTGTTACACTATGAAGGTATGCAAAAAGGAGAGAGAAAATACCTTATAGACTCCCTCTTTTAAAAGGCGACTGGGGATTAGTGGACCCAGTCACTAAATCATGGTGGTGAAGAATCAACATCTACTACATTTTTTTGGTTTGGGTGCACTGTAGAATTATTAGGGTTTTTTGATGCAGGAGACATGAAAAATGAGTAATGCCCTCGGCAGAACTTGAACCTGGAACCTCTCGAATACATGCCAAATGTGCTAAACGTTACATCTCGAAGAAAGGAGAAAGAAAATACCTTATAATACCTTCAGTAATATTTATTGTACAATATAATTTCTGCCTTTACTTATGACCTCTTGCCAGCGTGATGGTAATCTGCAGATACCATTTTTTAAAAATAAAAATGTCTTGTTAGAGGAAAAGAACTCTAGTAGTGCTTGGTAGACATCTGCTTCAGGAATTTTTTCTCTTCAAACAATTTTATGAGAAGAGACACACTTGATAATCAGATTGCGCTAAGTCTGGGGAGTAAGGTGGATGCAGCAGAACTTCTCAGCCTAGCTCTGTGATTTTCTTAACAAGTCACCAAAACGCCATGTGGTCTAGAATAATTATTATGCAGTATGATGTGCTCTTTTTTTTGGGGGGGGGACTGCTTTCTTTATATTGTTCATTTGCTGACAGATCTCTCTGAATTCAGCTTTTCTTTAAGTTTCAAAAGCTTGTAATGTACATGTCCTTGGACATCCCACCATATAAACACCATTCTTTTATTCAAGATCAAACCATTTTAGAGGTGGAGGAGGCAGTTTGTCTGAGCTCACAGTTCCTTTTCCTAACTATGTTTTCGTAGGTAATCCACTTTTCAACCCCAATTGTCATTTGGCCCCAAAATGGTTAATTTTTATTCCAAGCAAGCACAACTGTGCATATCACGACTCAATCAGGCAGAGTTTTCTCACTTAATGCATGATACATCCATCTAGAATATTTATAAATCAATCCTAGCTTCCAAATATGGTCTGAAATAATTTGCTGAGCAGAATTAATCTGTGATGAAGATAATTTCTAGTAATTTCCATTCAAGGTTACAAATTTTAACACAGATGAAATTCTAACAAGTGTCAAGTTATATTAAGAAATTTATAATTATTTACATACTAATATATGCATTTTCATTTATGTTTCAAAGAAAAATTTAATAAATAAAAGAAATAGGCTTTCACTGTCCCATTTGGAAAATATTCACTGAAAACTTAGAATGTTTTCATGATTTATTTACTTTTTAGTTTAAATTAAAGTACAGTATTTATTGATAAGAATATTTAAAATAAATATCAGCCTAGTTTTCTGCACATCTGAATTACAAAATGCAATCAACAAAAATGTCTTTCAGGCACCAAACTTTAGATTTTAGGAGGGGAAAAATGTATAAATTTGAATTTTTTCCCCCAAATTTGAATTTATTATTGTTGTTTATGGATGTTTAGATAAATATTTAGAGAGCAACATTTAAAATTTATTTTAAATATGTATCATTTTGATAAACTTTCCTTTTCTTAAAGGAATTTTTTTTTCTGGCCCATGAGAATATTTTTTTTAATGTCAGCTGTTTTCTCATATTGTATATTCAGCTCGTATTCAGTTTCAATTTGAGATCACTGATATAAAATGTTCTGCCCATTAGTTATATTATACACAGTATTTACCTGGGCACTTTTGTATGCTAATTTTATTTCCACTTCACTGCATTTTGCACCAACCCATATAAACACGTGTGTTCCATTATCAAGAATCATGATGTCATCATCTGCAAGATCATCTTGACAAAAATCAGAACACTTTTCAGAGATAGAGAAATATCCTTTTTCATTAGAACACCTAAAGAGTCTTGTATGGTTCATAAAATCAGCATCCTATATGAGAGAAAATATTTATATCTATTAGAATTATTTATAATTAGTTGTAACTAAATTTACTTCTGCTTCTAATATATAAAAAATGTAAGTCATAAAAGTTAAACAATCATGCATGAATACTTAACATTTTAAAATAATTCAGACTTTATACCCGGGCAGACTTGTATAGGAAACACAGATCTTACGTTAGAAAAGACAAATGTGTGTGCCATGGATGCAGTCAGCTGATCAAGGTCAAACGAAGTTTCCTTTTCTTTCCTTTCCTGTGTAATGTGAAAACACGAGAAAGCATGGATGAATCTGCCCTATCCGTGGAAAAACATGAGTGTTCGTTGTTTAGCACTGATTGGGTTTAGTTAAAGCAGAGGCGAGTTTTATGCTCCGAAATTTATATGTAGTTTAAAATACTGTAAATGCATTTAACAATATTTTTATTTTAAACATTGCATACAGAAAAGATTTTGATTAATTAACATGAGTAAATTTTTTTTGTTAGTACAAAACTTGAATTACATTTTAATTGATCTGTCCTCATTTAATCTTTATTTAATACTTTTTATTCATTATCAAATTTTGTTTACTCTTATTGCCATGTCGTAAAATCAATATACAACTTTAAAGTTGGATTTATTCTTTATTTTTTAATTATCTCATTTTTATTCCAATGTATTTCCTACCATAGTGAGTTTCATGTATTTGCTTATTCCACTCATCTTCAAACTAGGTGTTATGAAAAAATTTTTTAGGATCATAGGGTTACTGGAAAACTGCATAACAGAAATCCAAACATATTATAAAATACAGTCCATTGAAAATATATATATGCACCCAGAAAAAATTGAGCCACAGCTATCAAACATGGTATGCAAATGTGGTTTGGCGAGTTGTGTAAATGAATACTCTTGCAGCATCACTCAGCATTGTGGAGCAATACAATGCACATCTGAAGTGCACAGCCGGTAGAATGTAAAAGGGCAGATCCAGTAAGTGATGGGCATTTACAACTGTGCTGACAGCTTGAATACACAACACTGTATTGAAAAGTGCCTTTAAGACATACTTGACAGCATTATGAACAGATGTCAGACTTTGAAAGGGGTTGCCCCCATAGGCTAAAAGAGGCCGTTTGGTCAATTAGGCAGATCAGCTGGCATATGGTCAAAGCGATAAGGTCATTGTCCATTGTTGGAACCGGTGGCTCAGCGAAGGCCTAGTCAGTCAGCGTAGAGTCTCGGGATAAGCCCAGGTCACCAATGCATGAGATGATCGCACAGTTAGAAGAACTGCCATATCTGCACTAACAGTTATGTTATCATCAATTCAATTCCAGTTGCCAACTCACATGGATCCTAGAATAGCCAGGGATATGATTAACATAAAATCAGGTGATGCTGAGTTCAGATCTCTACGTCCATCAAGTCGCCTGCCACTGACACCCCACCATAAGCAGCACTGTCTTGCATGGAGCAAATTGGACAAATCTGATCTTCAGGGATTAATCATGCTTTTTTTCTCAATCTTGACCGCTGCATATGTGTCTAGAGATGGAGAAGTCAGTAGTCAAATGCACCATTTGTTACTGAGTGGCACACAGCCAGAACACAGAGTGTGATAGTCTGGAAAGCTAGGACAACCATTCACCATTAGTCATGCTACAAGATACTCTGACTGCTTATGCTAGCAGGTCATCCAAGTTCAGTTTTCAATCAGGACAATGCTCAGCCACATGGAGCATGACTTTTCCAACAATGTCTTCATGTTAATATCATCAAATGGCCTACTTGGCCTCCAAATCTGTTGCTTGTTAACATGTTTGGAATATGTCAAGCAGGCAAATTCACCTGTGTAAAAATATGTCCGAGATCATTGACCAGTTGCTGCATTTGCAGCACAATCTACTGCAGAAGGGCATTGGCAACCTTACACACTCCTTGCCCAACTGAGTATTGACTAGTATAGCTGCTAGGGGTTTCTTTACCACCTACTGGTTTTTATTCCTTGTTTCTTTACCATAAATAAAATGATTTTTTCAGCCAAATTTTTGATCAATTGTTTATCAACTCATACACTATACTACTGCTCAGTTTTGTAACTGTGGCTCAATTCTTTCTGGGTGCAAGAGTGTACATATTCCTGAGAATTTGGGTAAAAATTTGGTAAAGTTTAGGCGGCTTATTAATTTATAAATAATGTGATATTAAAAACACTTTTCATCAATCATATTAATGAAGTTAAAAAACTTTAAAATATCACAATGTTGCTAAAAAGTAGACTGTTTCCATGTGGCTAATTTTACTGCCTGGATAAGATACATTTTTTAATAATCTAGAAGATAAATGAACTATTTTATGTTGTGTAGAAAGGCAACAACTGTGATTTGGTAAAAAAAGATTTTTTTTTTTGGTTGCAAAATTAAGGCAACAATACTTCTTTCAGATTAACACATTAACTATTTCTTCATCAAGCAATTACCTGAAAATCAGAAACTGATTTACTTAATCTCTAAAAATAATCATACATTCACATTTACAGAAAGGTTAGGTTATTTAATTATGGCAAAGCCTCGAGGGCTATTTGCCTGAGGGGAGGGATGCCTTCGTGGAGGACTTTCTAAGTCCTGGCGTCCTGGTTCGTAAACACATTACACATGGGGAAAACCACGAAAAAACCCATGCAGCCAGCCCGTTTGCGGGATTCGAATCTCGGGCCGAACTACCAGTGTTCAGCGACTTTACCGCTCGGCCGCTGGTGGGCTCCACATTTATAGAAACTATCAGTAGTTATTAAAAAAATACTGTTCTCCTAGAATGATCAGCATTTGCCATGATATATTTTCCAGACTATGGATGACACAAAATACACTGCCAGCCACCCAAATTGCAACACCAAGAAAGACAAGAGATATCACAACAAAATTTATTTAGTAGATAACATGTTGACCAAGTATCAAATGATCAAATTTATAGACTTCTGTGAATTTGTGAAGTGTGGTTCCTTCCAGAATCAGTAGGCAGAGTAGCCACCATTGTTGGAGATAATTGCTGCCACATGCCTCGGCATTGATTCAAAGAGACTTTGGATCTGGTTTTGTGGTACAGCAGACCAAGCAGCTTCTACATGCTGCCAAAGTTAATCTGGTGTGGCAGCTTGGGATGTAATCTGGGTCAATCGTTCAGCAACCATGGACCACATGTTTTCTATCGCGAAAGATCCAGAGAGCGAGCTGGCCAGGGACGCAATTTAATCTGCCAATTAACGAAGAACCTTTGGACAATGAGTGCCACGTGTGGTCGCTCATTATTCTGTTGAAATATGGCTGTGGGCAAGCCCTGAAGGTACGGAAGGACAACTGGCTCCAACACCTCGGAGATGTAGTGCTGGCTGTTTAAAGTACTGCCAATGTATACTAGAGAAGTGTGAGAGTGATATTCAATCCCGCCCATACCATAATACCCATTAGCAGGACCAGTGTGGCGGTGCATATCACAGCTGTTCAGCATCCTCTCCCTCCGGTGTCTCCAGACTCGAAACTGACCATCATGGTGTTGCAGACAAGCGAGACTCATCAGTAATGACAATTTCATTCCATTCTGCCGTCCACATCCTTCTTTCATCGCACCATTGGCGGCAATCTGTGGTTCTGTGTCAAGGGTAGACGAAGCAATGGACGTCTTGTGGACAGACCACTCTAGTGTAAATGGTGTCGAATGGTACGCGCAGACACTGGATGATGCGTTACAGATTGAATGTGCGGTGCTATGGTTCATGATGTGACTGAGAGATCCGTCACTGCCATGCGCACAATGTTCCTGTCATCACGTGAAGTGGTGCACTGAGGTGGATGTGATCAAACAAATCGGTCCATCGTACCCTTTTGCATCCAACGGTCACATATCTGCATTACAGTTGTTTGGTTTCGTCTAACACGACTGCTGATATCCCTGAAAGATAATCCACACTCTCGGTAGGCCACTATCCTTCCTCTGTCGAACTTGGAACTTGATCAAACGATGATCGCTGTTTACTAAAAGGCATAATTGATCGTTTTTTTGAAAAAAAAACCACAAGAAAAACACAATTGCTGAACTTGAAATCGTCGAAAACTCCAAGCCTTAAATAACGCTTTGAAGTGGCGCCACAGGCGCGCTTGATGTGCGTCTGCACTCTAATTGTTTGCATATGTCACCTCCGCTAATGCATGTTGTAAATTTCATGTTATTTGCATACTTCCTTCAGGGTGTTGCATTTACAGTGGCCAAAAGTGTAGCATATTCAATTAAGAAGTACTTTTCAAGACAAGTCTCTTCAGTTAATTTTAGTGTTCAAGGCTACATCTAAGTTGTCTTCTGCACCAATGAAAAGAATTATGACAAAAATTACAACAAATCTGGAGTTAAGAAAAGGGGAATAAAAGAAAAGATCTTTTCCTATTTTGCTTATGGCAGGTTTCCTACCCTCAGAAGATGCTCATATATTTACCTTATCATATGGCTTTTTACCACCAAGGGCAACCCAGAAGAAATTTTCAGGTTCTTCTCCTTCATTAAGAACTTGAATGCTATGAGTTTCCTAAAAAATAAAGCTTTCAGTTCTTAATGCAGAACTAAAATGGGGAAAAGAATACATTTCATTTCAAATATTCAAACTCAACTACTGCAATAACATTAATCATGTTACTCCTCATAAAACTTATTTCCGAAGAATATTTAACATCTGAAATTAAAAATAATATGTTCTTTATATACCATATTTTTGAGTGTATAACATGCATCTATAATTTCAAGCTACACTTTTTTAATTTTATGTATATTCGCCGTAAAATACACACCCAATTCCTCACAAAGAAACCTAAAAATACACGTGCAACATTCTTATCTTTTTAGGTACCTAACTCAAAGATTTTTCCCAGCCTTTCGAACAATTGTATACCAAATACTGACAAGCAATAAAGGGAAACAATATGTGTGTGGGTTAAATGTTTGAGGGAATAAATATTCCTGCAAAGAGGGAGCAGGTGTCCAAAAGAATGCTATTGTAGGGTTTCAAGAAAAGAGGAATATAATTTGGAGTAAGAACGTACTTCCAACTTGAATGAATTCATGAAATTAGAGAGTTAAGATGTTTTCTCTTTCTGTAGTCATTTGAAGCCATGATTTTGAAGTGAAAATCAAAGCTTTAGTAAATCACATTTGTTTTAGTTGCAATACAATTGATATAGTGCTCACTTTAGCAGTAAATAAGAATCCTGCAAAAAGAAACAAACACAATGTTAATTTCAAATGGAAAGTCATTCATTTCGTGAAAGAAAATGGAAATTGTGCTGCAGCAAGGATGTCTGATGTTGGTGAAAAATCCATACACGAGTAGAAGAAAAATGAAATCGTAATAATTAATATGCTTTGCATAAAAGAGTAACAAAATGGCTTTTCCTAGATGAAAATGTTGCAAAGAAAGTCCTAGTGGCAGAATTAATTAATTTTAACAAGAAAATGTACACATTTATTTGTCATAAAGTGGGCTAAAAAGAATGAATGAAAGTGAAAACTTTAAAACAACTTCGAGTAGGTGTAGTAGATTTACAGCACAAAATAATTTAGTTCTACGAGAAAAATAAAAGTGTCGCAAAGGCTTCTGAAAGATTTGGATAATAAATTGATTAGTTTCCAGAAGCATGTTATTGATCTACGAACACACACACAAAAAGTCAGATCTTGGAAATATGGATGAACTCCAGCAATGTTTGATATGATAGGAAACAGAACAATTGATCTTAAAGTAGCAAAAATGGTTCACATAAAAACAACAGGTCACGAAAGATCTCACTTCACCATACTGCTTTTCTGCTTAGTGGATGGTTCAAAATGAAAACCCATCATTATTTTTAAAAGATAGACAATGCCAAAATGTAATTTCCCAAATGGTGTTTTCATTCATGTTCATGAGAAAGGATGGATGGATGAAAATGGTGTAGAACTGTGGATAAGAAATGTTTGGCAAAAGCGTCTTTTTGCCTTAAAGAATCCAGTATTGCCTTAAAGTATTTTATTCTGGGGCATGTTCAGATCTCATCTAACACATAATACAAAGAAATTATTGAAAAAGTGTAATACAGACATGGCGGTTATTCCAGGGGGATTAATGCAATTAGTTCCATCTTTAGATGTGGGTATCAATAAACTGTTCAAAGAAAATTTAAAATGACAGTGGAATATGTAGATATTAGCAGATAAAAAACATTTACAAAAGAAGGCCAAATGCATCATACCAGTTTAGAAATAATGTGTGAATCGATAATAAAAACATGGAATGAAATTAAACTTGATGCAATTCTAAAATTATTTTATATATCTAACAATCCAGCTGGAACAGAATATGATTATCAGTTTATGGATCAGAGTAACAGTGATAACAGTAATCAGAGTAACAGTGTTAACAGTAATCAGAGTAACAGTGATAACAGTAATCAGAGTAACAGTGATAACAGTAATCAGAGTAACAGCTAAAATTTAAGGTGGAATTTATTTGCACTAAGTATAAATGAAATGAAATAAAATTAGCAAAGCAATACCTTGTGTTTGGCGTAGACTTAGTCAAAAACTCAGTCTACAGGTCCCTGATGTTTTATATTTCCCCATTTTATGTTTCACTTCAATGTGTTTCTCTTCTGGTTTTGTACATGAAATGCTTCACATGGAATTTTTACCCTCCCCTCACGACTCTGTACCTCAACCGCTTTGTCAGCAAGATCTATGTACTTCTAACATTTGATAAACAAACTTCATCAGTGACTTTAAGGAAACAATATATTTTCTCACTCACACTATTAAAAAATTATTATTAAATTACCAGAGTAGAGTAAGGAGAAGAAAAATTAAGAATTTAAGGAAGTGACAGAATTTTATAGAGACTGATTCTATGTTACTTAACTTACTGTATCATAAAGTTTGTTTGCTATTTCTTCAGCTAATTTTGCTTCATCTTCATCACTTTTAGAACCAATCCATACATACACAATGCCTGAGTTATTCACTTTGTCAAAAGGTACTTTTAAAATGTAGCTGAAATTACAAGAATTAAAAATTTTGGAAATTTAAGAAAAGAGGAAAAAATATGAAAAAAAAAAAAGGGGAATGAAATGTCTCAATTAATTATTAAATGAGACAAAATGACACATTTGGAAATTTGCTCAATTAATAATAATAATAATAATTATACCACATAATAAGCTAAAATTTTCAGAAATACTAAAATTTTACTAAAATCCTATTCTCACTTAATTTTGAACAAAAACAGAAGCAACTAACACGAATCTTCTGTTACCTATATTAGTGATATTTAAAAAGATTTAAAAACAATGTCAATATATAAGAAGAAAAAAAGTCATCTTTTAAGCCTCACATTGACTTTTATTTAAAAATATGACAATAATTTAATTATATTGGGTCATTTGAAAAGTTCTGCAGTTTTCCATATCAAAGGGTATTTTCTTCTAATTATTTTGTTATTGCTGATATGGAGTAATCTTGATTAAAGTGGATGTTTAAATACAATTTTTCTACTCATAATACAAAATTCTAGCCTGTGTTGTGGCATAATTTTCCTTTTAGTGCAGTGTTAAAATTGGGGAACATACATTTTCATCATTTTATGTTCTTTTATTTTCAGGGGGAAAAAAAAAAAAAAAAAAAAAGTACTAGTCAGACTGCTCATAAAATTTGTCTTATATATAAAAAAAGTGTTGGTTTTGATGCCACCAGTCAAAAGGTGGTATTAAAAGTTCAAGTGTAGAGATTTCAGCACCGATGATGATGCCTGTTTTGGATGATCATCCTCTGTAAACAAAGACATCTTAAAACTAGCTTGTTGACAGCTTGTGGCTGTGGAATATATATGATTTCATAAAAGTCAAGTCGAAAAACTTAACAATATCTATTTAGTTGAACACATAATAATGCCACTTAAATCGGCAAAGGACTGAGTAAGGATTAATATTTGATTATAACAATTGGCTGCTGCTTTGAATGGACAGAGGGAAAAGTGACTCTTCGTGGATTGACTGCATGTTTCTCACTTGCTGGTTAGTACTGGGTTCTAGCTACTGACACTGTGGTGTGAAGCTGCAATCATACACCAGTACAAATAGACAAAATATTCTAACTGTGATGGAAAAAACAAACTGAGAATTCATAATATACAGCTCAAGAACTATCAGGCAATAAACACTCCCAAAAGTACAGCACTTAATCATTTGAAGAAGACAGTTTGTAAGCTGCTACTACCATACCTTAACATAGCAGAATATACTTGTTTGAGTTTCAGCATTTGGTTCTCTGCTGAAAACAAATGAAGAAAGTCATTTTTTTCTTTTCTCTTTCTTACTTTATTTTATTTTATTTTTATTTTTTTATTTTTATTTATTTATTTATTTTTGTACGGTAGAAATTAGAAGTGGATGTTATACAATAATATTACCAGTAAATGGTCATTTAGTAAGCCAAATGTATCTCCTTCAGCAACATTGAGATAAGAGGCTGCATCACAGAAAAAGTAATGCTCTGTGTGTGGTGAGACTGCAAAGGAAATGCATACTGCAAATTTTTACCACTAATCAGATAATAAATTCGGAATAATACTTTTCCCAGATGGCAGTTTTAAAAGCAGAAATTAAAAGCAAAATGACCAGAGCTGACTAATCCTCAAGGCATAGTCTTCCATTATGACAATGCTTGGCTTTATGACAATGAATACCAGACAAAAACTTATTCAATATAGCTGGGATTTTTGTGCCACCTGCCTTATTCCATAGAACTTGTCCTCTTGGATTTTCATTTCTTCAGGTTACTTCAAAATTCTTTAAGTGGCCTGCAGTTCACTTCTTTGAGAGTGTCAAACAGCATGACAATAACTTCTTTACAAATAAAACCTAATGGCATTTTTCAGAAAGGGATTTTCCAGTTATCTGAGAGATGGCAAAAGATCATAGAATAAAACGGTTATTACGTGATTCAATGTTTCTTATGTTTCCACATTGCTTCATTCAAAGTTTTTTATGTTTTCACACTGCTTCATTTATATTTATCATAAAAAACTGCAGAAAATTTTGGATAACCCTATAATATAGGTTATACTTAATTTATACTAGCAAAATTAATAGGTTTTAATGAAAAATTTTAAATTGGCATAAAATTTAATAATTGTAAGATTACAATATTAACATAAAATTTAAAAATAAAAATTTTGAAACACTGTAAGGGCTTTTTGCTAACTTAAAGTCTGAATTGTTATATCATACAACAGGATAAATTAATCCGTACAATATTAAATAACTTGACATACATATTTTTTAAACATACATCCTCACATACTACTTTAATCAGTGGGAGATAAAAAGAAAAAAAAATAACTAAAATAATAATAATAATAATAATAATTCCATAGCTTCTTCAACTGGTACTACTGACAACTTAGCACAGCTATTATTTTGCAATGAAAACAGAAAAGTTAAACTACATGTTATTTTTCAAGCTATTGACAGCCTGCATTAATCATTCAGTTACCAAAGTTCTCAAGTTTCAGCTAAAAAATAATAAATTGTTATTTATCATTTATTATAATCAGCCTATTTTCAGCATTTCTGATTTTCTTCAAATTTTTTCACTTAGAAATCATAGAAATTAAAACTAACTAACGAAAAAATTCAGATAATTAATTGCTTATTACTTAATACAATTATAGATTAGAATGATGAATAAATAATTGAAATGAACTTAGCAAAATAGCATATGTGAAACAGATATGTGCATCCTTTCCTGTCATGATGTTTTAATTTTCATATAAATATACAGTAATAATATAGAATAATGTGGAAGATTAGTAAAATTATAACTTTTAGTTAATTACTACATTATATAAAAATCAGACAGATGGCCCTGCTTTTCATTTCCCGGCCATTTTAATGTAAAATCTTGAATTCATACTTACCAGAAAGCAGAGTTTAAAAGACTAGCATCAGGTGTAACCTATGAAGAGAAGATGCTTGGTTGGGAAACAATTATACATAAAATACTCCATAATATGAAAGTAGAATAAGCATAATTGCACATCAATTTATGTAATCATAAATAATAAAAAAAAAAAAAAAAAAGACAAAAATGTGTCATTATGTGAAAATAGTAATACTTAATTAATCATAAAAATAATATTAATTAACCCCATAAAAATTATAAGCAGATTTGATAGAAATCACTTGAATACACTAAAAACATGTACATTCAGGTAATCTGTAAAGCTGCAAAATGCACTAAAAAAAATAGAGCAAATATTTTACTATTTCAAAAAAATTTCAAAAACATGAAACTGAATACAGCAATCACAGAAACAAAACGGAAAGGCATACAACTTAATAGAAAATATTTCATAGTTGGAAAAAATTGGTACTCTATTGCTTGAGCAAAAATTAGTGCCTCTTTTATTAACTTATCTAGAGCATTCTATTATTTTTTAAACTGAGATTTAACACATATTTATTTTTTTGCTCACCATATTAGCTATCCTCAGTAAATGTTCATTAAATCACCAATGTAAAAAAAATAAATCCATTTAGGTTTAAAATTTCACATGAAAGCCTAGACTTTTGATTTACCTGGATGCATCGTGTGCATATGGGGCTTCCATTAGATCTAATATGAAACATTTCCACAGCAGTACTAATTTTAGGGTCTTTCCTTTTGCCTCGATGAATAACAAAATGTCTTTTAAAATGAGAAAGAAATTTGAGATTCTCTTGTTGCTGGAAGAAATAGTAAAAATTCATTACTAAAGTGTAATGAAAGGCAAGGCAAATAAATGAAGGACAGATAATGAAAAAATACTGTACTTGATATGTTCGAACAACTTCTAATTTATCTCCAAATAATGATTCAAATTTCTTCTGCAAGCTAGTTAGAGAAGAAGACATTTGACATTAATTTCAAATGAAATCCAATCATTTATTTCCTGAGGGATAAGTGCATTCTCTCTTTAATATCAAAACAAAATGATATAGATGACGATTTTAAAGCATACAATCATTTTTAGGAACAATGTTATTTCTAAAGGCAGCTGAAGTAAAATAAACTTTATAACTTATTTCCTTTTAAACCTTTTATTTCATTTAAATTACATAGAAGAAATAATGTATTGGGTCTTCTGGAAAGTTCTGTGGTTTTCAAACAGAAGTGCATTTCTTTTATTATCTTGTTACTGCTGATTAGGTGTGATTTTAATTGAAGCAGAGTGCAAATACTGTCTTTTCTGTTTACACTGAATAATTCTAGTATGTGTGGTGGCATAATTTTTGTTTCAGTGCAGTGCTAAGAATGGAGAAAACAAAAAGTTCATTGTCATTATATTACACTTTTATTTTAAAAAAAGAAGAAAAAAAATGATATTCAGACTGCTCATAAAATTTGTGCTGTACGTGGACAGTTTCTGATAACAGAGTTCAAAGGTGGTTTGAGAAGTTTTGGTACAGAAATTTAAGCCTAAAAAATGATGCCTGCTTTGGACAACTATATGCTATAAAAAAAAGGATGTATTATGGCTGAAAATCCACATTATACAGTTGAGGAACTATTAAATTGACTAAATATTCCAAAAATGTATAATACATGATCATTTGAAGAAGATTGGATGCTTAAGACACTATGATGTATGGGTACCCAATACTTGAACAGAGAAGAATATGTTATAGTTTCAGCATGCGATTCTTTGCTAAAAGAAATAAAGAAACTAATTTTTAAAAACAGTTATTATTGAAAATGAGAAATGGATACTATACAATAATGACACAAAAGAAAAAAAGATCACGGTATAAGCTAAAATAACCACCTTTAATTAATGTTGAGAGGAGAGGAAGCTACATCCACAAAACATAATGTTCTGTATATGGTGAGTCTACAAAGAAATCGTATAGTATGCATTTTTTGTCATCAAATCAAACAATAAATTCAGAAAAATACTGTTCCTAAATGGCAATGTAGAAGTAGAAGTTGAAGCAAAGCACCCAGAACTGACAAATTGTTATCTTCCATCATGATAATTCTCGGTTTTACTTTTTGATGAATATTAGTCAAAGACTTGATGAGTAAAATGGGATGTTTTGTATTCATGTTGCATATTTACTATGCCTTGCCTCCACTGGATTTTCATCCATTCATTTCTTCAAAATTTTCTGAACTGGCAGAGTTCATTTCTTCAGAAACTGTCAAAAAGTACCTTAGTAACTTCTTTATGAGTTATTTTTAAAAAAGGAATCTTTCATCTGCCAGACAGATGTAAAAAATTTTGCAGATGACCCAATAGATCAGCAATTACATAAATAACGATTTTACTTTTGTAATAATTTATGCTTTTATATTTATACACCAAAATCTTCTGGATAAAGTTAGAAAAATGCATTAATAAAATACACATACAGTAGTTTAAAAGTATGATATTCATAAAAACAGCAATTTATAAAACACATAAAAAAAGTATTTTCATTTTTAGAAATGTAGCAATTTCCAACAAACATTTTTAGTGCAATATTAATTTCATTAGCAAATCACACAGCACAAATACCTGAAGTCATTGCCTAAACAGAGATTTATTTTATAGTTTAATGTTTTTCATACACTGAACTATAAAATGAATCAAGAACCATTATTTTTCATACAGGTAGTTTTTTCTCTAGGATGAAGTATAAAAATAAGTTACATGGGGGGGGGGGACTGGAAATGCTCAACCATTAAACTAATTGATACAACATTATTTTTCTCTACCACAGTAGTTACACCAGATTTAGAATAAGCAGAAGTTTAATTCACTAGGTTTTTAACTGTATTTCCAACATTAATATCTACCTGTAAAAAAATATATATCTAATGAAAATGCATATTTTTTAACATTCATTTAACTATATTATTTAAATTGGAAATCAAAAGAATGTGTTCTTTATAGCTTTCTAATCACAGCCTTTCTGAAACATTTAGTAAAAAATAGAGTAAATGATATTTTATAAAAGCCACCTAGACAGTATAATGGTTAGGGAAGCCGACTGTGATACCAAAGGGCCCGAGTTCGAATCCCAGAGTAGGCATGGTGGTTTTGTCCATGGCGTTTGTCCGTCCCCTCACAGGAGGCAAAGGTGGCCCACCTATTAGGAGCCTCCATAATAAAGTGATCACTCCTTCCTGCCTTAGTAGTGGCCAATGTCTGCATGCAGTTTAGCCCTGCCATTGAGGGGGATATTTTATAAAAATTTCTGAAAAGAACTTATAGAACTGGCTATAATGACTAATGATTTTTCAAATATTCAGTAAATACCATAATGATAAGTCAATAGAATGCTTCAAATGTTAACTTGAAAACAGTTAAAACTGTAAGCTTTATAGTTATTATTAAATTTACTGAAGTTTTTTTTAAACCTTCACAATTTAAAAAGGCAGCTGAAAAATAATGTTGCCATTAATTAAAACTTTAATTCAGACAATCATTTCTTAATCAAATTGTGACATGAAATAACCAGACTTAATCAATAACTACTCTTAAAAATTAAATTAAAAAGTACACCAAAAAGATTAAATTGGAGTAAAAAATGCAAAAAAAGTAATAATTATAACCAATGTAATAAAAAATTTAAAAACATAATCTAAAAGCTACTTCTAATCACTAAAAAGTATGAAATAAAATAACTACCACTTCTTGACCACAACACTCAAAAATTGCAGTTGCTCTTAAACTTTTCACATTTATATTTGCAATTTTTGAGTATTGTGGTCAAGAAATCATAATTATTTTATTAGAAACAGCTTTTAAATTTAAAAAAATTCTTTAATATTTTATTTTTCATTTTGAAATTTATTGAACATCATTTTCTGTATGAATGTAGAAAACAATGTTTAATAAATTAATATTTTAAACTAATTAATTAAATCTCATGCTTAATAAATTAAGCATCAGATGTCTATTAAGCAACTGTAATTTCACTCAGTTTTAATTAAATTTTGCATAATTGATTATATTTTGTAAATTCTTAATGTTATGTTCATATTTAACATATGATTTAACTAGCATTTTTCAGCAGGGCTGTAATACTTTATTAGCTAGTAACGCCCACTATCTATTACTGAGATGTTACATGAATCCTTTCTTGTAAGGCAGAATGTAGTTTAATGACAGAGATTTGAACATTAAAAATAACTTTTTACATCAAATTAAATATTAAATCATGTATCTAAAACTTATTCAACATGTTTATTTCTATCACAACCCTTGTGGTTGGCAGCCTTGCCCTGTCAGCTGAATGATGAAACAAGCAGCCATCTTCATCTTTTTTAAAAATAAAATAGCTGTGTTAATAAATATACTTAGTTCTATCACATTTTTTGCAGAAGCTTGGTCATTTTATGAGCTGGAAATTCCAGCTAATGCAGTTTAAGTCAACATAGTTTTAAATATGTGATTTTAATATATATTTTATTTACTCGTATACTTTCTCCTCTTTTATTACTAACTTTATCATACAAAAATCGAGGGGAGACAATCATGCAAATAATTTAATTATGAAGGATATGGCTGTAGTAATAGTTACATGAAGGTAGTCCTCAAAAAATATTCATGGACAAACTACCATTAACTAACACTATAGTTTATTTAAGAGAAACCAAATTTCATTAAAAATACATAACAATATTAATATTATAGTTTGGCCGCCTCATCCACGACCATGAGCGCAAACACGCATGCGCCATTCGGACCGAATTATTCTCAAAATAAGTTGGAAAAGTGGGGACTTTCTTTCCCTCCAACATAGCTCTTTCCAGAGAAGAGAAGACCTTTCCCGTCGCAGCAAGTAATACTGCACCTTTTGGATGAGTCTATGTGTTTTGGAAGAAAGCCAACCAGGGTTGCGCTCGAGACGGTCAAACAATACCAATATCTAATAAGATATTTTTATTTATATTTCTTTTATCTTGAATCTCACCCACATTTATTATTCTCCAGTGCTACACCTTAAGCCTCAAATTATTTAATGCTACAGAAACTGCTGCTTGCATCATTTGTGGCAGCTTTCAAATTGTCACTATCGTTACTAGTATTCTAGTTTTTGTCATCATTCAGTTAATCTCCTCATACACAACGATCTTCAGAATTATCATGAGAACTAGATATCACCATTTTCTTGAAGCTTTTCACTATCAAATCCATGAGCAAATCAATTAGCAAGACAAAAACAATGACTACATGGATGAAACCATTTAAAAATTCAGAGAAGCTTGCTTTCTCAATGCATAGAGGAAGGGGAAAATACATAATTTTATGCTAAAAAGTTAAGGAGAAAAATATATGAGTAACTATGGTAATCTAATGTTTATATTATGAATGCCCATTGTGAAATTACATACCTGAAAGTAAATGTAAGCCAACCCATGTTACTAGCTTCTCTACCTTGCCAAAAATATACAACACATTGATAACCATCTTCTTGTATTTCTTCTTCTTCAGTTCCTTCTTCATTTTCTGGTACCTCCAAAGGAACCCAGTAACGACAAAGGAAAACATAGCAATCTTCACTATAGAAATGTCCTAATTAATATATTAACAAATAAAAATTAGCTTGAGTATATACATACTCATACACACAGACATATATATAAGGGCTCTCTGCCAGCAGAAAACATGTTTTAACTTATTGATGTTAACAATTAATAAAACTACATAAAGCACTGTATTAACTAGTTACTAAAAAAACATTGTTTTAAATTAGTGCAGTTACATTAAACTACTTTTAATCTATATATTAAATGAGAAAAATATCTCTTTAATTAACATAACAATAGAAAAATAAACACTATTCATTTTTTTATTTATGTCATATTTCTAACAAAAGCATGCACTTAAAATTAAACTTTAATATTGAAAATAAAATAAATAAAAATTAACCTCTACCAGCTTAGTCTCTTAAGAGCACCAATCAGATAAGATATATTATTAAGACTGATGAACCAATGCTAATCACTAAACAGACTGTCCAATAAATATACTTCAGATAGTTTCATGTTTAGGGAGTTATTAAGAAAAGGAGTTTGAATGCAATTTACTGTCATCTTTGAATGCCAGTATGTCTAATTCAAAAAATAGTAAACCAGTAGATCCAATTTGGAGTTTTAATATGCAGAAAGAAGTTAATGAAAATATTATAGTTGCGATAATATGTAAGTTGCAAGAGAGTTGTTAGTGCTTAACTTTACAGAATGAAAGAGCACCAAAAAGTGCAATAATAATATCTGTAGTAAAAAAAAAAAAAAAGGGGGGGGACAGAGAGAGCAGTAATCGGGCTTAATTTCTAAAATGAAGTGATGAAAAAGAACCCGAAGATGAAAATCTTCAACCCACCAGCCAGCATGAGAGACTCTTGTCATTTTAACAACTTCAAAGAACTAGCATTTTTTACACTTATAAGATTCCTTCTCTACCAGCGAGCATTTATCCTTTACATATATGATCAGTTTACTAAGATCGGGTTGAAAACTAAGATCGGGTTTCTGGAAGAAAGCTTTGGAAATGCCAAATTCCAGAAATGTAAAAATTTTCTATAATTGAGAGTATAAAAATGCAAAAATTTTTCTGGCTTAAAATTACATTAAGAGCCATTTATTTTTTATCAACTTGAATATCAAATGCCTACATGTAAATTATGCAAGATTTCAAAGAAAAAAGGGCATTCCAGACATAAATGCCAAAGTAAAACATCATATTCAATTACAAAATTTTGCTGACCATGAAATCTGGTGAATATCTTGCCCCAGTTATTCCAACAAAAGTTTGAAAGAATAGATCATTCTTCATTTAGTTAGTCAACATATACAAGTTAAGACATAATATATAAAGAAATTAAATTGCTTGTCATAGTTTTTCATGTTGAACAAACAATGTTTATCAGTTTTCCAATAAGTCCTATTTTTCTTGATGTCAGGATCCCATAAATTTGAAAATATTCTACTGCATGCCATTCTGTTGAAGGCAAGTCCTAAATTTTAATATTTTTTTTCAAAATGTGATTGAAAAACAGACAGAGAGTAATTAACATAATGTGCTTTACAAAACTTAAACTCACTTATTGAGAATTAAACAGATTTACATGAAGTAAAAGCATTATGCCATATTTATCCATTATTAGTACTAAAATGTACTGTTTGGTGGTAGCTTTTGATTCATTTGAGTCACAGTCCTAATTGTACTTTATAACTTAGTTTATATTTATGTTAAGCAATAAATCTCTTATTTGTTTAACATAAATATATATATATATATAATTTGAAATTACTCCAATGATTTGAGCTTTCCGGTTAGTTGAATGCTAAGTACTTAAAATCAGATACTTTGGGGGGGGGAGGGGTAACAGTGGCAAAATGGCTATTGTAATTCAAGATGTTTGAAGTAAAATCCGAAATATTCAGCATAACATTATTCACATTAACATTATATATTTTATTTAATTTTATAAATATAGTGTCTTAACAAAAGAGTGCAACTTAGTGAGCACAAATAGCCACTACAACAATAACAGCAATACGAAAGGAATATAAGTAAGATGTCTTGTAATGAATAATGAGAATAAAATGAAATCAATGATAAAATACTTGAAGATTGTCCATAGATTCTTACAATTTAAGGATGGTTCTGCTTTTTTATTCATAACTTTTTAGCAAGCTATCTTAAAATTACACCAACATTTGTAATATGATATTTATTCAGAAATTATCATAGAAAAGCAAGCTTAAGGAATACCAAAATGCTAGGAAACCACAAACATCTAGAAGATGATTAAATAGTCTCATATGTTGCTTACAATTCTTCATATGAAATTGTTCATATCAATCATAAGTACTTGAAAATTATGAAGATTATATAAATGAAAAAGGAGCAGTTGAGGTGAAAAATAATATCATTATTATTAAAGAAATAAAACATGTTTTTCCAGTTTTAAAATCTATTGCTGTTGCATTGAATAAATTCTAAAAAAGAAGAGGGTTCTATTTCAGACTGATGCTAGAGGAATGTGGCTGGCACTAATGGCTGATGATGATCTCAAGAAAAAGGTTAAAGAGATTCAATCAAGCGATAATTTGATACCACATGCTATCTCAAATGGTTCATCCATCACAGATCTAAATTGTCCACTGAGCAGCAAGAAATTTATTTAGTGATACAAATCCCAGTTTATGCCCATATCGCTTCTCAAGCAATATCAGCTCTTTTTACTTTTACATATTTCTCCAATGAAGTATTTAAAAAATGTTTCAGCTTTTACATGGCGGTCTAATTTAAGGAAAACAATTGCAAACAAGATTTCATAGCTCAATGTTTGCACAATGATGATACTGCCTACAAGTATAATAAAAGCTTGTTTGACAGGAAAGTTTGGGAAATACTGAATGCCAGATATGTAAAAATTCATGGAAGTTGAGTGTATAACAATTCACAGCAGAAATTTCTGGTTTAAAGTTATAAAAAGAGTCACCTTATCTGTTATCAACTTCAATAACAAAAGCCTACATTTAAATTATATCACATTTCATTAAAAAAAGTTTTTCAAATATAAAAGTCAAGATATTTTCATAGATCTCAAACTTATAAAAGTACACGTCTTATCTGAATGTGAAATCCTATCAACCCCACGAAAGTCTGTAGAGATCCCAATAGACTTGCATTAATCATTTCAGCACAAGTTTAAAGGAAAAGATTACTTTTTAGTCAGATAACCAACAAATATAAGTAATGGAAATAACATATAGAAAACTTAACAGTGATAAATTCTCATATAGTATCATATGCATTTATCTATTTTCAAATAGTGACATATCATGCCTATTAATGCACACTTTTTGTGATACCAGGATCCCCTAATTTTAAAAATACTCTACTGCACATTTTTTTATTGAAGGTCAGTCTCAAGATTTAATATTTTTTTAAATGCAACTAAAACAGATAAATGGCATTTAATTTAGCTTGTTCTTTATAAAAACTAAAACAGTTTATTAGAAAATAATCGGTTTTCATAAAACCAAGCAATAATCTTATGATTGTGACATCACATTTACCCATTATTGGTGATAAATTATACTGTCTGTTGACAGATTTAGTTTGTCAAAAGTGGTTGATGGTTAAGTCGAGAATGGGCAAATGTTCAATATACTGGTGAAAGTAGTTCTCATGACAGAGAAGCTCAATGCCTGTCATAAACTTTGGAAACTTTTATATATTCCTTTTTCACTTTCTGTAAGGTGTATCCAGCTCCAGAAAGACAAATTTTTGTAACAGACTGGATACAATGGTGGAAGTGGTAATCAATATCATTTGAAAAAGAACCATGTAACTATATTAAGATTTTAGATGTTGAAAGTGGGATTCTAAGTAGTAATCATATACGTGGTTTACAATGTCTTTACAAGTCTTTCATTTGCTTAATCTTTCTTTTCTTTTCCTTTCTTAAAGTTCCTAAAATTTAAAAATATTCCACACAACTTTAGCTTAGCTTAAATAGTGGTTAGTTGGACTTTTACTGTGTTTAAAATAATTTTCTGTTGCTTTTCGTTTATTTAAAGTTAAGTGCGAAATTCTTAAATTTAAAAATAGCAGCTTAAATTGGGCTTCTGCTATAGACTACTTCATGAGAAATGTCTGACTGAATTTGAATGATGGTGTGTAATCTCTGAATAAATACCATAAACAATGTCACTGAATTTGTTTTATTTTAAAATATATTTTTCTCTATGGCTACCCAAACACTGCAAGTATTTTGACATTAGTACAAGTTTTTATGTATTTCATGAGTTTTTTAGCAAGTTACTACCACTTTTATGGCAGAAATTAGTTTTTAGCAGAATGATTAAACAGATTTTTTAATTCCTAGCACATGCTGTCAGGCAATCATGTACAAAATTACACCAAGAAATTGGTGTTCTCTGCAGTTTATCTCTGACTGTGCTAAATAAGAGGGCAAGTGACATTCCTTGGACCAACTCCCAATTTTTATTACAATACTTTGTTGGCAATTGTTAATATCATATTTCCACTGTACATCTTTTATCACACACAATTATATCAAGTGTGAAATGGAACAATTATAAATTATCATACACCTGGAAATAATGGATTGCTTCTGCTTCATTACTCAGCAAATCTAGTAAATAAAAATGTAAAAAAATGCAGAGAAAACAATTAGCCCAAGAAACTTTTGCAGGAAAAGGGTACCAAAAAAGATGAAATTCATATATTATGCATTTGCTTTAATTTGTTTGAAGTTGACATTGAAATAAAAAGAAGTCATTCCTACTTTTCTTTCACAAGCAAGCAAGCAAAAAAAAAAAAAAAAAAAAAAAAAAAAAAAGGGGGGGGGTATTTTAAAGAGTACAGAATAGCATCTAGGACTGAACTAATGTTAACAGAAAAGAGAAAAGTAGAGGCATTGGTGACATTATTTGCAATATATCAGTGAATATCAGCTAATACAAAGTACAAAAAGCATCCAATTTCAGAGAAACTAGGTGCTTACCAATTTCTTCTTCTGGTAATCTAACAAATTTTTTCCCTTCTAATACAAATGATTCCATTGCTTCTAAATCTTCATTCCATTCATCCATCAGAGTTTTCTAAGAGCATAAATATCAAATGAATAATTTCAGATACAGTTTTCTTACTACAATTACATATAATACATAAACAGACACCTTTTAACTATCATAAATGAATGTAGCAAGAAGAAAACTGAATAAGATACATATATGCGGGGAGAGAAGGAAAGACTACCTGTTTTGTAAATTTTTTCATTTTGTGTTTACCTGTTTATAATTTACCTGTTTTGTTTGTTTGTTAGTTTTCTCTGTAGTAAAGATTTTTACAGATTACTAAACTTTAAAAACATTTTAATTTTATTCATTTAAACATTACTTACTGCTTCTTCTTTACTCATAGGTGGCTGTCTATTCATGAATAATGCCGACAAATCTGCTTTAGTTTCTTGTTTACTCATCCATTTCTAAAACACAAAATGAAAAAAGTCAAACAAACGAACAGAAAAAAACTGGCATGCATATCATAATACTTATTGTGGGACAAATTTAACCTTATGTAACTTCGTAATAACCATAATTAAGTTTTTATGATGAAAGTGTAAAAGTGTTTAGTAAAACTTTTTTTCAGGATATACACCAATACTTTTAACATTGAATTTTAATACATGTGACCGTTTCAGCTTTAACATAGCTGCCAAAATTAAAACCTTAAAAACCAAGAGATTTTTGAGGAAAAATTAGGAGAAACTGGAAGGGTTCCACACTATGCAACGACATTTCAAACAAACTCCAAACTGATTTTAATTCACTTTATAACGCATGATTCAGGCTATTGAACTATTTATAATACAGTTTTGATTAAAAATATATTGGCATTTAGTTCGGTAGTCTAAATTTTATGTTCTCTGGGTAATTTCATAATTTTCTTAGATTTTTATTCTGAGAAAATCCAAAGTAAGTTTTTATTTATGATAACCTCAATACTTCTGAATATGATGAAAATAAAATTAATAATTATTGTTTATAGTATTTATGTAGATAAACTTAGTAATGTACCATATACTGAAGTAAAATAAAATTAAATACAAATATGAACTCATTAAACATTACTTGAACCTACATATAAAAATCTAAAAACATCTATAGCAGATTAAGAGAACTCAGATCAAATGAAATTTAATAAAAAAAATTTAACAACATTGACAAAAATGTTAAAATATCTTTAAAAAAATGTTAGCTATCTTTCAGCTGTTTAAATAAATAAAGAGATCACAGACTTTAGGAAGAAAAAGAAGATTTTCACTTTTATTATTTTTAAGAACTGAAAAATAATGGAATCGCCACTTCATAAAAAATAAATAGTTTTAGAAAAACAATACAGGAGGCACTAACATACTCTCCTCCAAGTGAAAATGGTTACGACACAATGTTTTAAACGAGGCGGAAACCTGACAGTTCTTCCACTGCATGTAATAGCACATGCATTGTTTGTAGGTGAGATTTCCTTCGGAAGTTTGCCCTGGAGAGGTGAGCCTGCATCATCCTTTGAAGTTTCCAATAATTGCTCTGTGTTGTCATTTAGAATAAAATATGGTTTTAGTCCATAAGATGATATTCTTTTGACAGTTCCAGTAATTTCTATATCACAGTATTTTGGTGCTCAGTGTTTGATAACATAGGTGTCCGCCGATAACATCGCGGACGAAAACGTCGCAGAGAAAACAACGCAAGGCGAAAACGTCGTGCTACAAAACATCGTGGGAGAAAGCATCGCAAAGAGAAAACATCACAGTTCTAAAACATCGTGGTACAAAACATCGTCGTCGAAAATAACGCGGTTCAAAAACTTCGCAGTTTAAAAATATCGTCGTCGAAAATATCGTGGTAATCATCGCGTGACGATAACATCGCAGACATGCTTTTTTCAGGCTTTAATAACTGTAAATGGATATTCCCATAATGATTTGTGAGCGCAAGATGTAAAGAAGGATAATTTTTACTTTCATATCTTTTATTAAATATTAAATTTTTGCTGAGAAAATAAGAAGAAAACTTAAGCATAGAAAATTAATGCAACTTATAGCACTTAATAGAATTTTAAACCGACATAGTTAACTAACAAAGACCATTAATAAATAATTTTTATAAAGTTTTTATTGGTAATTTTTCATAAAAAGTATAATCTATAAGTTGCATTTAATTTTCTATGCTTATGTTTCCTTCTTACTTTTTCAGCAAAAATTTATTAGTTAATCAAAAAATGTGAAAGTAAAAATTATTATTCTTCACATCTTGCACTCTCAAATTATTATGGGAATATCTATTTACAGTTATTAAAACCTAAAAAAAGCATGTCTGTGATGTTATCGTCATGCGATGATCTGTAGATAATTTATTTTTTAACACGATATTTTCGACGACGATGTTTTCAAACTGCGAAGTTTTTTAACCGCTTTATTTTCGACGACGATGTTTTGTACCACGATGTTTTAGAACTGCGATGTTTTCTCCCACGATGTTTTGTAGCACGACGTTTTCGCCTTGCGTTGTTTTCTCTGTGAAGTTTTCGTCCGCGATGTTTTCGGCTGTAACCATAACATATGGACCAAGACAAACTGGTTGTAAAGATAATGTGGCTGTGTTATTGAATACAACATGTGAAGAACTGAAAAGTTGCTTTGAAATAAAGATGGTTTTATAGCCATGTCTAGTCACTGCAAAAAGTCTAGTCACTGCAAAAAGTCTAGTCACTGCATAATACTTTGCAACCTCTGAACAAAATCTGAATGCATAACATTAGGAATCTCAGGAAAAAACTCTCCAGGTAAACAGAGAGGACTTCCCTAAAAGAGCTCAGCTGAAGACTATTATCTTTTTTCCCAGCACTACATAATCCAAGAACAACAAATGGTAAGGTGTCTACTTAAGATTTGTTTTGCTGTAAATGGTTTTTCAAGATAATCTTTATAGTTCTGTGCTACTACTCACTTAATCCATTCGACCGTAGATGGTAAGCAGTAGTCCTAATGGTCTGAAAGCCGAAACATTTGCTCAAAGATAAGAAAAGTTGACTTACAAACTGTCATCCTTGGTCCGAAGTAAAATGATGAGGTGTTCCAAAACAACATGTCCAGGTTGAAATCATGCCTTTTGCAACTGTTTCTTCAGATGAAACATTATCAATCACCATTAGCAAATATCTGACGCCTTGGCATGTAGATAAGGTTCCAACAATATCAGTGTGGATATGTTGAAAATGTTTTGGGTGAACTTAAGATTGTTGGCTTTGAAGACAAACCTCAACACCATAATTGGCAATCTTTATTGGCATTTAGCCAAATGAATCTTTGCACAATTAGTTTTCTGGTGTTTTTAATCCCTGGAAGTGATAGGGTATGAATAGAAGATAATATTTGTTGACGAAAATTTGAGGGAATATATGTTGTTTATTGTTCGTGGAGACTAACATCACAACAGATTGATTTCTAAGTGCCAGGAATGATAATTTGAACTATTTAAACCTTGGGTTAATATTTTTAAATCTTCATGATCTTGAAATTCGGCTATAGTTGCAAAATCAATTGGAGATAGTATAGAAATAGTATTAATTCTGGAAAGAATATCGGCTAAAATATTTCCCCCCCCCTATGACCTATCAAATATTTGTTAAAAATTGAGCAATATAATTAAATTGTCTTGTTTGTCTGAGGGAGGCTTTTGTCTAAATTTTGTTCAAAAGCAAAAGTGATAGATTTATGGTCCATGTAAATGATGAAAGATTTTCCTTCTAATATGCACCTAAAATGCTTTATTCCAGTGCAGGCAAAAGTTCCCAGTGGAGAAAAGCTCCTGGTGATATGTACTGATTTTCTCTGTATATGAGTTAAGGAAAATAAGAAGAAACTTAATGGACACATCTCTCCATGTTCAATTTGACTTACGTCAGTTCCTATGACAGTATCAGAAGCATTGCATTTGAGAGATAAAGTAGAGTTATTTGAGGAATGGATAAGCACAGTAGCATAACAAAGAGTATTTTTTAAATTTTCTGAATGCATTATGAGAATCTTTAATTCATATTAGAAGTATTTTGCTGTTTTTGCTATTTCCACTAAGTAATGAGATTCGAGGTTGTTGAAGTTTGGTGCAGTTCAGAATGAAATGGTGATAAAAGTCCATCATTCCTAAGAACTTGTGCAAGTTAGTGGCTGGCGTAGGTTAAGGTATACTTTGCATGGCATCAGTTTTCGTTGGAAGAGGTTTAATTACTTCAGTTGAGATTTCATAACCAAAATATAATTTTAGACCCAAAACACTTTCTGCAATATTTGTGCATAAACCATAGTCACTTAATCTTTCAAAAATTATGTATAAGTGCTCATTGTGGGACTTTTTATGAAGAGAAGGAATCAGTATGTTTAAATAGCAGAATACAAAATCTAACCCTCATAACAATATATTCATGAATCACTGAAATGTCCCTGCCATGTTACATAAACCAAACATCATAAAAAGAAATTCAAATGGGCTAAAATGGAATTATAGCAGCCATTTTTTTAATGTCAACTTAATGCACTGAAATTTTTATGAAAAAATTTTCTTTCCATGAAGAATAGAATCACAGTCAGTGAGAAATGGTAGGTGATAGTGATCTGGGATGGTAATATTGTTAAGGGCCCGGTAATCTTCATATGGTCTCCAGTCACCTGATTTCTTTGAGATGAAATGCAGAGGACTGGCACAACTTTTTGAGGACTTTGTAGAGACCTTGTTGTAATATGAAATCAAATTTTAATTTCAGTTTTTTTTTTTTAATCTGCCTTAGCAGTAATAGAAGCTCCTTCGGTTTCTAGAAATGCTCAGTGTTGTGATTCTTAATTTTATTACTGACAAGTGTTGGCCATAACAGACCAGGATATTGTTTAAGAATAGCTCCACATTGGTTTTGTACTGCACTTAATGTTGGTGAATCAACACGATAGTAGAGAATACCAATAGATTCAACCAAGTGATGACATCAATTAATTTGTGATTTTTGCAGTTGAATAAAAAATGAAAATGAGATAAAAAGCCAATACTTATTATTTTTTATTGACATCTGCAATTATAAAAGCCCAATCAAATATTCTCTCCATCCTGAATCTAGTTTTAGCAAATTCTGCCCATAAGTTTTAATTTTGGTTTCATTTGCAGCAAAGAGTAACTTGACAACAGATCATCTTTCTTCACTAATAGTGGAATCACATATATTTTTGCACTAGTATCAATTAAGGATTGGATGGCAGTCTTTTTGTCACAAATAAAAAGATAACACAGATGTACTCCTTGACCCTCTGTCATCAGCAAGGGCAATGGATTTAGTTTTCCTGCAGCTGAAGGTGAAGCCTGTGTTAAATTGTAATGTATTTGTTTATTTGTCATCTTTTGGAGGATTAATCAAAATATGCGACACTTGTGATAATATTAATATTAACTACATAATCATATTTTGTTTGATCTGCCATTGTTTTGAAATCGTGATTAAAACTGCAAAAACCATGTTTTTGGATCTGGTTTCCAAAACAATGAAATTTTAATGCTAACCCTAGTGATGACCGATTGCCATTTTCTTTTAATGAATGCTCGAATTCAGAGTTCACTAATGAAGAGAATGTTAAAAATAATCATTTTCTTTTTTTAAACTTCAAATACCTTTTAATTGTTTAAAAAAATAAAGGTTATAGAACTTGATTGCAGAAATAAGAACAGCATTTTCATCATTTTTAAGATCTGAAAAATAATGGAGCTGCCACTTCACAAAAGATGAATAGTTTTTAAAAACAAAATAGGACAATATTAATAAAATGTAATTGAAAATTCAAAAGTTCAATTATCAAAATTATTCAGAAAATCACTAGAGGTGGGGGAAAGAAATTTGCCTAAATTAAGTTTCACAAATTCAGTACATTCTATTTATTGTTGGGAAACATGTTTCTTAGTAAAGGTTAAAAATTAAAAACCAGGAGATTTGGTGTGCTATCAAGAGACTGGGAGATGTGATGAAAAACGAAAGAATTGGCAGCTATGGCTTTAAAATTAATACCAATAAAAGTTACAGTGTATTAATGTGAAGACTGGCATTTTATTGTCTACATTTATAAAATCTGTTTTTGAAGAATCTCTTCTTGAAGGAACTTGAAGAACAGCAAACAAAAGCTTGTAACTTTTAATTACTAGAAAATATGTTGCTCTTATATATATATATATATAACAGGATTGTTTCAATACATGTGGTTCATATCTATCAAATGACTACCAGTACTGACAAAATATTTCCATTACAAATTTAATAAGAATCCTAATGTAATTTTATCTTGTTCACGATGGCCAAATATTTATTGCCTGGAATGAAATTTGCCCAGATATGCCAGACTGTTCCCCAAATAAAATGCTCCAAAGTAATCGCTTTCTACTGGGGGGGGGGAAGGGATATTTATATATTATATTTATTAACATGCACACACATATACAAGGATTGGATAAAGATATTGAAACAAAAACGTATTGCTGTGACTAATACAGTGTAGGAAATGCATTAGCATTCAAAACAGCTTGCAGTCTTTTTGGAATGGATAAACAGAGGTTTTGGATGCTTTTCAAGGATATCTTTCACCATTCTTTCTGTAAAATGTTGGCAAGTTCAGTTAATGATGATGGCAGTGATAGCAGTCCCACAGATTTCTCTCCAAAATAGCTTATAAAGGCTCAATAATATTGATATCTGGTGACCGTGATGGCCATGGTAGATGTGAAAGTTCACCCTTGTCCTCAGAACACTAGTCCTGGACAATGTGAGCTGAGTGAACATGAGCTTTGTCATCTTGGAATATGGTATCACCCTAGGGGAATAAAATTTTTATCATGGGATGGACGTGATCAGCCAAAATGGTCATTTAATCCTTGGCAGTAATGTGATTCTGCAAAGTAATGATAGCTCCCATTAATACCACGATATGGCTACCCAAACCATAACCAAACTCCTGCCATGTTTCACTCTTGGCACAAACAGTTTCTTTCATATGCTTGGGACGACGTTTGCCATATGTAAACTCGCCCAGAATTCAGAAATAATGTAAAGAAACACTCATCCGACCAAATAAGAGTCTTCCACTGTTCTACAATCTAGATTTTATGACTTTGGAAACACTTTCTCTTCTTACAGGCATTTCGATCACTGATGAGTGGCTTTTGAATTGCAGCTTGCCCCCAAATACCCTGCTTGTGGAGCTCCCTTTGTACTGTTTTTCTGCTGATAAGGTTTGCAATTGTGGTATTCAGTTCAACAGTCACTTTTGTGGCTGCAGTCCTCTTATTTTTCATTACAATCCTCTTCAGTGAATGTCTGTCATGATCATTCAACATATATTTTCATCCCTGCTCTGATTCAGTGGATGCCATTTTTTCAGTTTTCCTGTATGAGTTAAAAATCTTGGATACTGTGCCTCTTGAAACACCAAACACTTCAACTATCTTGGCTATGGAAGCACCCACCATATGAGCCGCAACAACTTGCCCATGTTCAAATTCATTTAGCTCTGACATGAATGCACTCACAACTGCACAGAAAACTCTCTCCATAATGAATGACACTTACAAGATATTGAGAATGATGCACAGGTACTATATATATATAGTTTTATAAGAAACTAATTAGTAAAGTTTAATAAAATTAAATAATTCTCTTGAACCATTGCCACAATTTGAATTTAACAAATACAATATCATTATCTCATTCATATAAAGCTAATTAAAGTTTTAAATTCTGAAAATTCAATTGCAAAGAAATAAAATGATTAATTATTGCTGCGAACTAATTTGCAATATCATTCAAATTCAGAAAGCATGAGTAAATTAAGTGCAAGCATCTAAATACATGAAAAAAGATGTACAATCCAAAACTTTTATCTTAAACCTTAAAAAATATTTTTTAAAACTAAATTAATTTGCATAATGTGAGTTATTGTTCAGCAGCAGGAGACAGATCTTTTCAAGGGGAAGTTGCCTCAAACCTAACTCTTCAATTACTCAGTTCTTGTTTTATCATCCATATAGGCATGGGTAAAGAATTACACAAAACCAAAAATAGAGAAATATTTAAAAAAGAAATTTAACAGTAAAAGAATTTTGAGAAATTTAGCAAGCAAATCTACTATAGGAAACAAAATTATTACTGTGTGATAATTTGCTTGTGATCACCATGTTAATCATTACCTGATGTATATACTGGAATAAAAAAGTATATAGAATTTTAAAAAAGAAAACATGATCTTTCACAAAATTAAATTATACCTACTGAAATAATTTTTAAAAGCAATAATTATGAATATATATAATAAATATGAATATTTGTTTTATCTCCAAAAGAATAATTTTGTCCTATGTGGAAGATTCCTTTTATTATTATTATTATTCAATATAGAAACACATAAAATTCATGAAATTTCTTTATTTTAGTTTATGTAGGAACATCAAATAAGTACTGAATAATTAATATGAAGAAATACATAGCATAATTATAATTAGTATGAAAAAAAATGTGGATATAAATAGTTTGTGATTTGAATGTGGATGTACAAAATTTTATTTTTAGTGACTTAATGTTGTTTTATACTTCATCAAAGCTCCTGATTATTAAAGGGGATTTGAGTGCATTAAATTTTACAAATTTAACAGATTGCTCACAGCTAACTTTCCACACAAAAAGTTGTCATAACAACCTAATCAATTACACTAATGGGTTTGGAATGTGTTAGATTTCAGATATTTGATAAGTTCCTTATACTTAATTTTCTATATAAAAAGTTAATCCTAACAATAAGCAAGATTCACATGAAAACATAGCATATTACTCCAACCATCACAAATGCTATAAAACCAAAATTCAATATATAACAAGAAAATTATTCTTCTTTTCAGCCATATAGACAAGAATTGAAGACAGCAATGAAATTCCTACAAAATGGGCATAGACAAAGTAACAGACCAAATAATTACTGCTGGGCACTAGTGCACAATATATTAATTTTAAGGTACTTTTCTGAATTAAATAAAAAATAAGTAAAATTCCAATATTAAAAATATTTCAGGATTACCTTTAAATCTGCTCCTGTCCTAGCTACAGACTGAGCTGTTCTAGTGAAATCTACTGCAATGACATCATCCCAACCATAAAACTTTGATTTAAAAATCTGAGGTTCAGTACTAAAAAAAAAAAAAAAAAAAAAAAAAAAAAAAGGTTTTGTATTTATTATCAGAAAGAAAACTTTGAAATAACTATGTATTCTGAATATACATTATAATTCTAAAATAATAATTCCAAGCTACTGGAAATAATGATTCAAAATTTGCATGCATTACAAAAATAAATTTTATTAAAAAAACTTTAGAATACAATGTGATGAAGTATACACTGGTGGACAATTATTAAGGATGGATGACAGTATAATGATAACAACCACAAAATGGAATACAGGAAAATGTGGCAATTAGCATAAATGCGGGATACAGTATGATGTGTTGCGCGTATGCAAATTTTGGATTGCTGAAGTTGTTCATCATGATAGCACTGATAAGAGATATAAAGGGTTTGATGTATATTAATCGTTGCTGTTCAAAAGCAAAATTTAACAGGAAAGAATCAATTGATGAACCTGCAATTTTCAATACATCTTCTTGAAATCACTGAGATGATTTTATGTGTGGCCGTGATATTGGCATGATTGAAGAAGAGCAAAAAATAACAGATGTTGCTAGGAAATTCAAGGTCAGCCACAGTGTTGTTTCATGGCTTTGGAAATAATTTCATAAATATCACGGGGTAGGTCATGTTCGCAGTAGAACACGTGCAGAAGATAGTTACTTAGTGCTATCAACAAAAAGGAACTGGCATGACACAACTACTCAGGAAGCAATCAGTTACTTGCTGCTACTGGCAAGCGAATCTCCCGAAAAACTGTAGCCAGATGTTTGCATCTGGCTACAGTTTTTCGGGACTGTAGTTTTTCGGGACTGTAGTTTTTCGGGACTACAGTTTTTCGGGACTTTCCACATGTTGTGGAGGATCATATCCTAAAATCCTGGTGTGTGCATTCTACAGTACAAAGTCCGAAATCCGGACTCGTTGGGACTTTGGTGATTCCGGATTTGAGATTTTTCCGGATAATAGATCAGCAATTTAAATCTGGTAAGATGGCATGCAGAAATTATACAATTAAAAATATGAAATCGTAATTTATACAATAAAGAACAATTATGATCTAAAGGGCATCAAAATTAAAAAAAAAAGGCTTAATATTTATTTGTTTGCTTTATTAAACATTTCTTTCAATGTAAGTTGTTTAAGTTGCTTCCATAAAAAATTCAAAAAGTTTCTTTTTCTTATGTCATATACTGCTACATTAACTGAAATGCCTTAGAATCAGTTAAGATAATTTTAGCCTAGCTTAATAGCGTCTGCTATACATTATTGGCTATGTATTACGAGATTGGCGACGAAAGCCAAGTTGTTTCGATAAATTTTGTCTTGCTCCTATTGCGTACAGAATTAAGCCTGAATTGTATTAGTTATTTACTATACCTAGGTTTATTTTCTCTAAATTCTGCTACAAAGCGCCTTCCTAAGTTCCAAATTTTCACCGCGGCTAAACTTTGGATCCCATTGCTTTCCCTCTAATTATGAAAAAATCCTTATCCCTTAATTTTGCGGATCAGTGCTTCCCCAAATTCCAAAAATTGTGTCTTTTCTGAATTCTGCCGCTTCTGGGTTTATGGTGAATAACATATCAGTTATTCTTAATTAAAATAGCACTAAATGTAATCTCTTGGCCTATGAATTTCATTAACAAAATCTATTTTTAGCATATAAAAAGAAATGTTTGTTGAATTTTCCCTCGTCAACATTTCTCAGAGCATTTAAAAAATCTATAATCATCGCCAAGCGTATTATTAGCAGAAAAGGTTGCCTTACTCTTGTTATTCAATTACTAATATAAAAAAAAGGTTAGACATCACTGCATGAGCTATTACTGAAGCTGTCATGTATTGATAAATATGCAGTGTTGAAAGCAAAATATAATAAATAATGACTCGCCAGGTCGGCGTCAGAGATATAAAATAGTGAATGTTTCGGTTTGAGAAGTAATGCCAAGCAGACACTCAGCTGCAGAGCCAAATTATTAATCTCACAAATTTATGCTTACATGATTTGTTTTTTGCATTTCATTATTTGATGCCTAAGTGAAATTAAGAACTGGAATTTTGAAGGGAAAATCTCCACACATTTTATTACGGAAGGAAAAATCAAATGTGCATGCGTAAAGTATACCAAAAAAAAAAAGCTTGTGGCTTTGAGGTTAGGATTTTAGATCATTCCGGATAATGGGCGTCCATATTTCGGACGACTGTCTTTACTAGATACTCTAGACATTATTATTCCACCTGTTTGCAATGGTGTTGTCAGCATCGCAATAGAAGAGAAGATGGCTGGACTAGTGTACTATTCTCAGATGAGAGTAAGTTCAGTTTATCATTGGATTGTAGACGGCAATTGATCTGGCATGAGAGTGGTACAACATATAGTCCAGCAAACACACAGAAAAGTGTCTGATATCCTACATATAGTGCCATGGTATGGGCTGGGATCATGACTAACGGCCATATGTCAGTCTGTGTGCTTCGAACTGGGACTATGGCTGGCCAGTGATATATTAACAATGTTCTGCTGCCTCATATTTGCACATTCCATAGTGCTGTCTGTCAATGATAAATTTGTTTTCATGGACAACAACGTAATATGACATCATACAGTCACTTTCCAGAAGTATCTAGAGAGCGAGGATATTCAATGCCTCATATAGCCAGCATGTTTTCCAGATGTGAATACCATTGAGAATATTTGGGATGCTGTGGGGAGGAGTCTTGCTGCTCAACAATGCCCTCTAATAAACAAGGACACCCTTATCTGTACACTGAGAGAGGAATGGGATAAATTATCCCAACAGCTGCTGGATAATATTGTGGAAAGCATGACGCGACATGCAGAATCTTGCATTGCCCTCCATGGTAGCCATATCCTGTAGTATTCCTAGTAATATAGCATTATTTTATTTCATTTGGTTTTCAACCATACTTACTTTTTTTTAGCACTATATAGCTGTTTGCAATCTGCCCTTAGCAACTGACCATCAATGTATATATATATGTAAAATATAAAATCTAGCTTTCAAATAATAACTTAATTGCCATTTATCTTCCATTTCATTCTAAAAATAACAGCAATAAATTTTTCTTCCAGCAGTTTTGATACACACTTATTAATGAAATCTGTACCCCAAAATCCAGTACATTAACATGACATGTGATCTGTAATGGAATTTGGTATAAAAAGGGTAATTACGTCACAACTCTCTCTTCTTTTCTTTGCTCGTCTCTTCTGCTGAGTTTTTAGCCAAACAAAGTTTACTTTTCTAAATTCGTCAATTGTTTAAAACATGAGCTCTAGGAAATTGAGAGGTGCATAGCGCAGTCACAATGATAATGTGCATTATCTAAAAAATAAAATTATGTGTAGAATTTACTGTTATGTGTGTTCTTTGAGTGTCATCTTGCTAACTACGCAGCAATCAAGTTATGATGCAGTCTTCTCCAATGACAATCCTTTGCAACTTTCCTCTACCACATCATCTTGTACAATAATACAGCCTTATTCAATAATAACAAGTTTTTTTACACATATATAAAGCTCTTATGTCAACTGTTAAAAAGACCAACACAATTCAGTAAAATGACAGGACTATATTATTTATAACAGCAATGATTATATTAATATAATATCATACAGTTAAGAATTATCACTTAATTCAGAAAAAGATAATGCACAGAACGCACCCCTCTAATACTCGATTCACAATAGCATGTTGAGGTCTTTTGATCATACTACATAATTCTTGAGATAACTTTAAAGCAGCAGCCCGAACTAAGCGAGTAGACTTTTGCCCTAACCTAGGAAAGGAGAAAGATATAGCTATTTTTATTTCTAGTATTAACAGCTATCAACCATTATAATATATATATATATATATATATAATCAAAATCAAAATTAGAAATATTTTGCAATTAAATGTCTAAAATTATTTGCAAGTCTTTACACATACCTAACAATTTCAACAAGCTTTATAGCATTTCTTGTACATAGCCTTAATATACAGTCAAAAGTCGTTAATTCAGACACCCATAATCCGGACCTCAAAGCTAAAAACTTTCTGCACATGCGCCGCGTTGGCACATGCGCACAGGCGTTTTACGCGTGCGCGTAAGACCTTGACTATAGCGCATATGCGTGTGCGCAAGTGCAGAATACGTTTTCGCCCATGCGTTTAATGTATAACGGACGGTGTAAGCTAAAATTATCTAATTATCTATTTCAGTTAATGTTAATGATTGCATTGTTTCTTAATCTTCGAATTGGATCCCGCTTATTATTTTTTGCAGACTGTAAGAGCAATTTATAAAAGTAAACTTGAAACTTTCGATTATGTCAAATAGAATTTCCGATGCTGGAACTTCCAAAGGATCTACAAAACGAAAGTATGTTTCGATGTCCAACAAACAAAAAGTGGAATTGCTGCAAAAAACGGATAAAGACATGAAGAATGTGACAGAGAGGTTAGTGAAAGCGAAAAAATTTCGATTGACAAGTTAGTCGGTATTCTCGGCACAGCAATTAACGGGACTTGAACAGCGGAACTTTGTAACTGAACAAGAAATTATGTCTTTTTATAGAATTAAAGAGAAAGTATTATCAGAAGCAACTTAAACAACTTACATTGAGAGAAATGTTTAATAAAGTAAACAAATAAATATTAAACTTTTTTTTTTTTTTTTTTTTTTTTTGTAAATTTTGATCATAATTGTTCTTTATTTCATAAATTATGGTTTCATATTTTTAATTTTAGAATTTCTGCATGCCATCTTACGAGATTTAAACTGATGATCTATAATCCGGAAAAATCGATAATCCGTAATCGCCGAAGTCCCGATTAACGACTTTTGACTGTATAGATTAAAACATCCCGTGTATAATGTACAGATTAAAATGCATCAAGTTAAATTCTTGTTTTAAACTACATAACATATTACAGGAATAATGCACTCATCTACAAAAAAAAACTGCAAGCATACCAAACAAAAACATCAGTTGAGCAATCCAGAATATACACATTCTTAGTATCCAAGAGAGATTTCTCCAGCCTGTTCTGTTTAATTTCAACTGCAATATAACAAATAATTTAGTTGTAGAGTAAATACAGTAAATAAGAATAATAGTTTGTACCATAAATAAGAACAAAAGGTAAACGCACATTACCTGCATATAAATACAAACAACATTTATCCTTTCATACTTATAATTATTTTTATTACCTCATTTTAAAATATAATTTATTTTGCAGAAACAAACAAACTAGTCACTGCAGAGGAAGAGAGATATACAGTAGCAGTTCAAAAATCCGCAAAGCCTGGGACCAGAGGTTGTGCGGATTTTAGGATTTTGTGGATTTCAGGACAGAAAAGATAAATCATAATATTTAGACTAAAAGTGCAAAATAAATAAGGTGTATTAGATACATTTAATTAAATTATATACATTATTGCAGTAACTTATTATATGCATTAAATTATTAGTATTACATCTATAAAATGATTATATTATTCATTGTGTTATATGTACACAGCATCGTGGTTTGCCGATTTCGCCTCGTGCAAAGATTTCCGGTTTCGGATTCTGATGTTAGAATCACTGTTGCTGTAAAATTTCAACAGCTTTTCTTTATTTTTCTGTACATCGTACACAATCATGTCATAATTCCATACGATTCTGCTATAAACCGAGGAGTAACACCTGCCTCCATCTTTTGCAGAATTTGCACTATTTGCATTACCGTCAATGCAACGTATTTACTTTTTTCAACATTACAAGCAGAAAAATCCTCAGTGTGTTTCTTATCTGTAATTGTATTAAAAAGTGCTGAAGTTTAAAATATTCTTAATTTATCCACAAAATATCTGGGTAAAAAAAATGGCAGCACTAAATAATCTCGTGAAATAACAAAGCTCAGAAAATACAACAATGTGACTCGTGAACTTGAAAGAAGAGTTGGGTGAATTGTCTGTTTTTTTACCTCGATGCAAATTATAAAGGAAAAACTTTTATCATGATGTCAATAATTTTGGTATTTCTGTTATGACTCATTATTATTCGGTAATTACAACATCATTATTTGGTAAGTATTTTTTCTTCGATATTTCGTACTCAATGTGCGGTTTCCGGAACCTATAAACTGAATGTTTATATTTTGAGAGGCAATGCAGATTTCAGGTCGGTGGATTTTTGGTATTTGACTGTACATGAATACCAATAAATAGCCTACTATGCAAATATTCAAGTATTTTCAGGGAGCTAAATTATAAATATATAGGATATCCTAAATAAAAGTATACTCAATCTGAACTAGAAAGCATGCTGATTTGATCTGTATAAATAGTGTTAGGGCCATTTTGTTTTTGCAGTTATGTTTTGCTAACTATAAAGGACTAGCACTGAAGGGAATCTTGTTAATGACTACACTTGACAGCAAGCCAATGAAGATGCACAGAATATAAGATAGTGTAAATGCGTCCACAGCAAAAACTCCTTCAAAAACTGCCATAATATATTTTAAGCTAAATTTCATGTTACATCACCAATCAAGGTTACTTTACAAATATATTAAAAAGGAGCAATTGACGATATTAAGAAACTGACCTGCAGCCATAGATGGTTAAAGGCTAGTTACAGCCTGTCTTGTAGTGTCATTGCACTTGTACAACACAGCATATTATGTGATCTGATATATATATACACACATACATTGATAAAAGCAGTGTGGTAACAAAATTTATTCTGCATACACTTCTATTTAGATGCTCTGTATATTCTTTCAATTACAATTTTATATGAAATGCTAAGCTGAATGAAAGAATGGCAATTTTATTAGCAGGCAATACTGCTCTGAAACCACATTAATATAGAATATTGTTCTGTATTTATTTCAAGCTCACTTCCTTTAAAACTTCCAATATGTCCATTAGTACAGCTTAAGACAATGTCATTTAGAATAATGATGGAAGAATGTTTTCTATTATTATCTGAAGAAAATGGAATACACTCCCATAAAATATTCACACTTGGTGCTACTTTGTCTCTATTATTTATAAAAATGTCAGACAACATTGAGCACTTTGCATATTATGCATTTTTGCAATGGAATTTGGCAGAGATCCTCACAAAACTGTGCCAATGATTCTTGCAAAATTTTGAAGAAATGAATTTCACTTTATTAAGTTAAATAGCAACCAACTGCTCTTTATTTAATTTAACAATCAGCAATAGATGCAAATTGCAAATATGGCACACAAAAACTTAAACAATTATAAGCTTAAGCTCTGAGATTATATAACAAATAAACCTTGTAAAAGTTGCATCAATAGCTGTAGCAGTCAAAATTTTCTAACAAAATATAACATACCAACAAAACTAATTTTCTTTATGAACTCAACACCACTAAGTGGTGTCACATTCTTCTGCAATGTCTTTTTATCACACCATTTAGACAAATTTCACAGTCTTAATGTTCTGAATGTGCTGATTTATACACCAGTCGAGCAATTTTGAAAATACAGTACAAAGGCCGAGATCCAGACTCATTGGGACTTTGGTGATCCCAGATTTGGGATTTTTCCAGATATTAGATCAACAGTTTAAATCTAGTAAGATGGCATTTAGAAATTATAAAATTAAAAATATGAAATCATAATTTATGAAATAATGAAGCATTTATGATCTAAAGGGTATCAAAATTTACAAGGGGGAAAACTTAATATTTATATGTTTGCTTTACTAAAAATTTCTTTCAATGTAAGTTGTTTAAGTTGCTTTGTTTTTTGTGCTAATACTTTCGATTTTATTCTATAGACAGATATAATTTTTTGTTCAATTACAAAGTTCCTCTGTTGAAGTCCTGTAATTGCTGTGTCAAGAGTTCCAACTAACTCGTCAGTTGAAATATTTTCTTTTTCAATAACCTCTCATTCACTTTCTTCACTATCAATAGTGGCATTTTCTGGATCTAGAACCATACTACAGATTTTGCCATTCGTTAGTTGATTGAATGATGAATGGAACATTGTTTATCTCAACAAAAAACTTTTGTTAACCCCTCCTCTTCCCCAAATTCTGACGGCCGGTGCCACCATGCAAACTCTGGCCAGGTTTTGGCTTTATGAGAATAACAAATTAGTTATTCTTAATTCCAGTAGCACTAAATGTAATCTTTTGGCCCACAAGTATCATTAAAAAAATCAATTCTTAAGATATGGAAAGAAATTTTTGTTGAATCTTTCCTCGTCAACATTTCTTAGCACATTTAAATTAAATCTGTAATCAGATAATACACTTTGTTATTCAATTACTAATATATATATATATATATATATATATAAAAGAGTTTAGGCATCACTGCATGAGTCATCACACAAGTTGTCACGAGTTGATAAACGTGCAGTGATGAAAGCAAAATTTAATAAATAATGATTCGCCAGGTTGGCATCAAGATATAAAATATCAGATGGTGCAAAATTAACAATGTTTCTATGTAGAATGTTTTGGCTTGAATGTATGTCAAGCAGATATGCAGTCAAATTATTGATCACAAAAATTTATGCTAAAATGATTATTTCTGTAATAATGAGGGATTTTATTTAATGAGATTAAGAATCAGGACTCTCCACATGTTTTATTATGAAGAGGGAAAAAAGTCAAATGCACATGCGTAAAGCATACTCCCCCCCTCAAGAAAAATCCTAAAAAAAATTGGTTGGTGGTGGCTTTGAAGTCCGGATTTTAGATCATTCCGTATACTGGACGTCCAGATCTCGGATTTTGTTTTGTACTTCACTGTTGCTGTTCTCTAGAAGGCAAGTTCCAAATTTTAATCTTTTTTTCAAAATGCAAGAAAAAGGGAGAAATAGCAGTTAATTTACAAACTAGCTTGGCTTACTGAAGATCAGCATTACCTAAAACTTAGCAAAATTCATATGAGCGTGTTTGTGACATTATGTTTTATCCATTACTGAAGATAAATTGCACCGTTTGGCAACACTATTGAAAATATTTTATGGTAAAACACAGTACAATTTCATCTATGTGTACTTTTAAAAACATTAAAAATAATATTATGATGGTGACAGTGATATTTTTATTTTCCCATACAAAAATAATTAAGGACCTTAAAAATAAAAATATCAAACAACTTTGTCTTTCTGCACTTTTTAATACCACGTCAAATTCATTATTAAAACTAAAACATATTAAACTCCAATTACTTAAGAACAAATCCTAAATATGGTGGGTATGAGAAACATTTATATTTTATGCTTAAACATTTCCCCCATAGCAATTAATTTATAATAAATAATTTAAAGTGATTAAAAAATAATCTATTTTTAAAGCGATTCAAAAAGCATCAACTCGGAAAGGAAGTAAAAGCTTATGGATATCTTGCTCTGAAAATACAATTTCAAGTGACACGAAGGGGGAATAAAATATATTATATCACTCAAATTTACCTAAAGAAAACTTTTCTGTATACTATACAAGATTCTACAATAAATACACTAGAATAATTATCGAATCCCAAACAAAGTTAATGTTATTGACAATAATTTTAAAATATATTCTAGGTCTGGGCTTCTTAAACTTTTTTCAGTCGTGATCCCTTTTTATTACTGAGATTTTTTTCGTGACTCCAGGACCCTATAATATTTACAAAAATTTTATGGGACCTCGTAAGCATTGGGCAAATCCGATACAGTGTGAGTGAAACTATCAATTTTTTCACTTGTACTGTAATATACTATTGCAGTTTTAGGTCATTAACTTTAATTTCTAATTTTAAAACATAGAACAGTGTGAAAATTTTTAAATAAGTAACAGACGAAATGACAGCGTCACATGCAAAGCAAGTAAAATGGACGTTTATATTACAAAAAGAATGCGTCAAAATGTTTTCGTTTTATGCTTGTCTGTATTGTCTTTGCTAATTTTCAGATAAATTTTGTAAAAATATTTGGTAATTGTAAAAATTATTATAAGAAATATCAAAACTGCTAAAATTTTTGCGACCTACAGTTTAAGAAACTTTACTCTAGGTAAACGGTGTTATTATTTTACAC